CACCCACATTCCAGTAAAATGAACCATATCAATGTTTGAGTTCTAGCTACTCTCCCTTTTGTGCTGGACTAATCTGTTGGTGATATTTACTAATATTATACGAAAGCCAACAGCATAATGGCTTCTGCAATGCTCTGCCTATCTCAAAAACTATCACCATAGCAAAGTATATCACTTGGACACTACATCCAACTAGAGATGTTGATTAGCCATCCTTGAAAGTCCAACTCTGTTTCATCTTGGGATTAAATGGGCAGTTTAAATCACAGAGGTTTTGCTACAACTGTACAAGGCACTTGTCAGACCACAAGTGAAATCCTGTGAATAGTTTTTGGCCCCTTATTCAAGAAAAGATGTACTGGCATTGGAGGCAACCCAGAGAAGGTTCAACTAAGCTGATACCAGGTACGGAGGGATTGTATAATGAAGAGAAGTTGAGTAGATCAGGCCTGTACTCATTGGAATATAAAAGAATGAGAGGTGATGTTATTGAAACATACAAGATTCTTAGAGGACTTGACAGGATAGATGTGGACAGGTTGTTGCCCTTCTGGGAGAGTCTCGGACCAGAGGGTATAATCTCAGAATAAGGGGTCAAACACGTGAGATAATAATGAGGAGGATTTCTTCTCTCAGGGAGTAATAAATCTGTGGAATTCTTTATAACAGAGGGATGCTGAGGCTGGGTCATTAAGCATATTCAAAGTTGAGATAGATTTTTAATCAGTATGAGATTCAAGGTTTATAGGGAAAAGGCAGTACGTGTATTTGAGGATTATCAGATTAGCCACGATGTCCTCAAATGGCAGAGAAGACTTGATGGGCTGAATGACCTACTTTTGTCCTATGCCTTATGGTTCGTCCATATTCTAAACACTTTTCTGGGTCTTTGGAGATTCTCAAATTTAGACTGCAGTATACAAAAACAGAAATTACTGGAGAAACTCAGCAGGTCTGGCAGCATTTGTGGAGAAAACAGAGTTAACGTTTTGAGTCTGTGACCCAGAATTGATAATAGTTGGTAAAGGTGGTGTTTATGCTGATGGTGGAGAAAGGGGGAGCGAAATAGATGGAGATGGAGCGCAGAGAAAGAGAAAAAGAAAGTTAGGCAGATAAAGGGACACAGTTCACTGGGCTCGGTCTTTCCCTTTGTCTCTCCACAAAAGCTGCCTAACCTGCTGAGTTCCTCCTGCAACTTCTGTTTCAGATTTTCAGCATCCATTGACTCCAAGTATTAACACGTTATACCTTCTTTATAGTCAAACAGTTTGGGTCCCTCTTAATCTCTAAAAATTAATTCACACAGGCCTGCTGTCAGACCAGAAGTTAGCATGTTAGATCTCAGAATCCCTTTCTTCGCACATTGTCTCTATAATCATGGAGTTGTACAGCATGGAAACAGCCCCATCGGTCCAATTTGTCCATGCCAACCAAAAAAACGTAAATTAATCTGGTCCCATTCGCCAGCATTTGACCCATATCCCTCTAAAACCTTCTGATTCATGTACCCATTCAGACGCCTTTGGGCGGCACGGTGGCTCAGTGATTAGCACTGCTGCCTCACAGCACCAGGGACCCGGGTTCGATCCCACCCTTGGGCGACTGTGTGGAGTTTGCACGTTCTCCCTGTCTCTGTGTGGGTTTCCTCCGGGTGCTCCGGTTTCCTCCCACAGTCCAAAACAGTGCAGGTTAGGTGGATTGGCCATGCTAAATTGCCCGTAATGTTCAGAGAAATGTAGATTAGGGGGATGAGTCTGGGTGGGATGCTCCAAGTGTCGGTGCGGACTTGTTGGGCCAAAGGGCCTGTTTCCACACTGGAGGGATTTTATAATCTATGAAATGTTGTAATTGTACCTGCCTCCACCTCTTCCTCTGGCAGCTCATTACATACACGCACTACCCTCTGCGTGAAAAAGTTGCCCCTTAGATCCCTTTTAAGTCTTACCCCTCTCACCTTAAACCCATGTCCACTAGTTTTGGATTCCCCTGCCCTGCAGAAAAGACCTTAAATATTCACTCTATCCATGACCCTCATGATTTTATAAACCTCCATCCTTTAGGCTCCAACGCTCCAGGGAAAATAGCCCCAGCCTATTCAGCCTCTCCCTACAGCTCAAGCCCTCCAACCCTGGCAACATCCTTGTAAACCTTTTCTGAGCCCTTTCAAGTTTCATAAAATCTTTCCAGATACCAGAATTGAATACATTATTCCAAAAATGGCCTAACCAGTGTCCTTGTATTAGTGAGGTTGCTGGGTTTGTCTTGCTTCTTCTCTGGCTTTCTTCAAATTTCCCATAGTACTAGCCTCAGTGTTATCAAGCATTTGATTTTTCTCTCATCTTCTGTTTTCACCCACAATTACTCCTTCAGTTGTTGCCAGATCTTCTTTTCCAGCGTCCAGTCTCAGCTGGCTTTCTCATATTAACTGTACTTATCAACCCTTTTGATTTCTAAAGATTTTCTCTTGATCTAACTCACTTATCCTCCAGCAGATCCGGAGCACTTTGCCTCAAAGTCAGATTTCAAAAATATGTTATCTCTCCCTCATTTTCTTTCTTCAGAGGCCAACTCCCCCTTCATTTTACCTGAAATCTGAAGATACAGTTCCAAAGTATAACAATCACATAAACATAATTGTACCCTATGATTTAGAGTGCGCCCATTCTATGCTGGCTGGAGAATATCAGCAGAGCCCAATGATCTTAACACAGAAAGCTTATTCTTTTCTTCAGCTGGTGGAATCCTTTATTCTTTCATGGGATGTGGATGTCACTGGCAAAGTCAGCATTTGCTGTCCATTCCTAATTGCCCTTGAGTGGCTTACTCAGCCAATTTAGAGGCAGTTAACAGTCAATGACATCACTGTGGATCTGGAGTCATATGTAGAATGGCAGATTTCCTTTTGCATAGAACATTGGTGAACTAGCTGGGTTTTAATGGCAATTGAAGATTGTAGGTTATATTCCAGATTTATTGATGGAATTTGAATTCCATCAACTGATGTCACAGGAACTGAACTCATGCTTCAAGGTGTTAGCCTGGGTGTCTGAATATCAATCCAGTGACAATATTATTGTACCCTAAATCCCAGAATCTGCATTCAGTATAAAGTGTAAGATCACATATTGTAGGTGTTAGCTTGGTTGAATTGATATCACTTGAACAGGTGGTGAGGAGTTCAAGTCACAATTTACTTCTTCATCCATACCTAGCTGACAGTTTAGAGCATTTCCCAAGGACTGATGAATTGCTGAAGATGCCATTTTCTGAAACAAAATTTACACCAAGGCACTTCCTACCTACTGAAGTGGATATAGAAGAATCTTTGTAGAACACAGGAATTTTTCACGGCTACACAATTCCTTCCTCCAAAGACATCAAAAATAAAACAGAGATCAATTGGCTAATTGCCCCAACATCTATTTCTAGGATCTTATTCTGTGCATTTTCTTACAGATAATTGCTTCAATTAAATCTAAGTTGTAATTCTGAAATGCTTTAGGACATGGCAAGGACATGAGGAGGCTGCTTGATCATATAGAACTTAAGTATTGCTGAAAAGGAGAGACATGCTTTTGAAGCATTTCCTCCTGAACTCTTCAGGACAGACATAAGAATGCCAAATTTCGAAGGGAGAGCTCAAACAACATGTATGCATATGCAGAGATTTGTCTTCTGCAGAAATTGTGCCATTAAACAAAAGCTTAGATAACAATTACCCTTTCATGTATTTGCCGTAGCAATGCTTTGAACAATCAGACCTGACTTCCTAACAAACCAGTACCTTCTCTCCATGCAGTATAAATTGTTACTTCCTTTGAAATTTAGCATCCTTGTGTCTGTCCTGATAAATGCCAGATTATAAGCTTCAACAGCAATACATGAGGAGGCACAAAATTGATGCCAGTGTATCCCATCATACCTCAGACTATCTTTTGGGAATCAGCCTTTCAAGTTATATTAACATTTTCTGAACTTCTTCACGTTGATGAGAAAATGTTGGAATAGCAGAATCTTGACTCTGTAATTTTTGCATGTCTTGATCCTTCTGTAGCAGCCATTAAAGTCTTCTATTTGAAAGTTACCATGCCAGCAACAGACAAAAACATGAAAACATAGACATGGAACTGCTTTTCCATGAATTCTCAAACAGCTCAGAACTACTGTCAGTGATTTGTGATTCACGAATGGGAGACAATAATTCCTGACTATCAAGCAGATAAACACAAACAGGCAAGGATAAATTACATTCAGGATTACAATGCACTTCCAAGAGCAAAAGTTTACTTTGAAAAACTGAATTCTTTGTTCCAAAAGCTTACAATGAAGTTAACATACTTTGATTAATTATTCCCTAAACTTCTATTATCTTTGCTTTATTTGAAGACATAACTGAAATTAATAGATCCAGCTGAAGACATTCTCAGCATAAGTTTGAAAAACGAAATGAAAAATAAAAACAGGCAATTTTCAGCAACTGTTATTTAACAAATACCAAGGTTCTATTTCTTTGAACAAATTATACAGGTTTAATGTTTGAAATTTTGAAAAATATCCTTATCTACTATTTAAGCAGGTAATTTTAACGAGCATTCCTTTAGAAATATTTAAAAAAAAGCTTTTAAGAGGGAAAAAAGTATGCAACATTTTGCTTTTTTTTGTTTGAAGGCAACTATGAAGTTTTAATTGGTTCTTGTCCTGCGTTTTAAGGTTATGGCTGTTAAACATTTCAGCTTTTATTGACACAAACTTCATAATTCAACTTAAAAAACAGAAATTGCTGGAAAAAACTCAGCAAGTCTGGCAGCGTCTGTGAAGAGAGAAAGAGTTAATATTTCTAGCCCAGGACTTTTCTTCAGACAATCGTACTTGACTCGCAATGTTAACTCTGTTTCTCTCTACAGATGTTGCCAGATGTTCTGAGTTTCACAAGTACTTCCTGTTTTTATTTCAGATCTCCAGCATTTTCAGAATTTTGCTTTCATCATAACTCAACTTACCAGGTGAAATACCAGTGTAGATATCTGTGAATCTGGGGTCTCTATCCTGCGAAAACAGTGGGTCAGTTTTGTCAATTGACTTCCCATGTTCTTGGACACCGGCAGATACAGTTGCAACGGGCACCTTTTAAAATAAATAGTTACATGAAGTCTACTATAACCATCAATTCTTTCAGTCATGCAGACTTTCATCTGCCTACTAATATATTTTCTACTTAGTTATTCAAAACATTGAATTGTATAAATATGCATTATCTGGTTAAGTGCACAATGTCATGCGATGGGCTAGGCCATCTTTGAAGTATTACTTGTGAAAACAACAATTCTTTGTATATACTACCTGGGAAGGGTCATAGGAAGGTAGACCTTCTCTTGGACCCACTTCAAGCTCAGCTTGTTGCTGCTGCTGGAGTTGCCTAGAACATAGAACATAAACACATTGGTAAAAAACAAATCACAACAGCACTTAGTTAAATTACCTGTACTTCAGAGGGCAGAACTGGGGCTGCAGATCTTTACAAATTAGGAAACATCATCACTTCCAGTCAAATCCTAACTTCTAAATGATTACCATTTCCCCTACCTCCTGCAACAACTGTAACAATAATCACAAACCAGTACTTTATTAAAATATCACATTCTGCTTTTATATCTGGCCTCAAATTTGAATTCCTTAACAATTTTTCAGAAGATCAATTAGAAATGTCTCCAACTATATTTCAGAAAAGTATCCAAGAATACAAATTGACATCTTAGTTTAGAGATTTTTAATTATAATTCTTATCAAAATCACTTAAATTGAAATATTATTCACTTTTCTTGTTCATTCAAGCTGTGGGTATCACTGGCATCAGCATAATTTGCTGCTCATCCCTAACAGCCCATGGAAGGTGTTGGTGAGCTGCCTTGGAGTGGAAGTATCCTGATAAGTAGGTTGAGATGAGAGTTCCAGGATTTTGACCAAACTACGATAGAATAGTGAGGTCTGAATGCTGTGTGACTTGGAGGGGAACATGCAGGTCCTGTTGTCCCCCTGTGCTTGCTACACTTGTCTTTCCAGGAGGTACAAGTAGCAGCTTTGGAAACAGCTGTCAAAGGAGGCTTGATGAACTACTGCAATGTATCATGGAGATGGCATACACTATTGCCATGCTGACCTGGTAGTGCAGCAACTGAATATTTAAGGTGGTGAATGGAGTGCCAGTCAATCAGGCTTTTCCTGGATGGTATCCAGTTTGAACATTGTCGGACCTGTGCACATCCAGGAAGTGGAGAGTACGCCATTGCACACAGTCTGTTTGTACCTCATTTGTGGTGGAGACTCTTTGGACAGTTAGCAGGCTAGATAGCTCTAGCCTGCTTTTAAAACCACAAATTTGTGCAGCTGGTCCAGGTAAGATTCTGGTTTATGATAATCTTCAGGCTATTGTTGCTAGGGGATTTATCTCTGGCAATGTCACTGAATGTCGCTCTTTTTGCATGCAGTCCCATCTTCACTGTCAGGGTGAGTCTGTAGGTGGCTGTACAGTCCTTACTGAAAGACAGTTGGTCCTCTCGTTTGATGGCAATGGTAGAGTGATATGTTACATAATGAGGCAATGGATTATGGTGGTGTACAATTCTGTTGCTTTTAACAGCCCTCAGACAAGTGTGGATATCCAGTTTCTAGCTACCAGATCTGTTATGAATGATCTCATTCATATGGTAGTAATCTCACTCAACTTATTGCACAAGGCAGAAAGTGGAGTTGAGGATAAGATCAACCATGATCTCACTGAATGACAGAGAAGACTTGATAGATCAAATGGCCTACTAATGCTCCAACATCTTATGATAACATAATAGAATGGTGTTCTCAGATGAAGACAGGGCTGAAACTCCATAAAACCTGTGCAACCTGTCCTACTAACAATCATGGATGTATGCATTTTGACAAGCAAATTGGTGAGGATTAGATAAAGTAGATTTTTCCCTTGTGTTAATCCTGCAACCCCAGTTTAGCAGATATGGTCTCAACTAACTGATGCTCATAAGTCCCTCTTCATGATGTACATTTGATTCCCTCCACTCAGAAGATATTCTGTAAAGTTACTATCCTTAGTGCTTTTGAGAAGCAGTATTCCACATGGAAGAATAGTGCTTCAACATTTAAGAGAAGGCAGTGTATGGTGACAAGCTGGAGGCTTCCTTGGCCACGTTTGACTTGATGCCATGATGTTCAAGGTCAGAGTCAATACAAAGGACTCCAAGACCCACTCGTTTCTATCCATTTCCACTGTGCCACTATCTCTGGCAGAACAGGCTTGGGACATTGGCTGAATGGGCTGTTCTTGGAAGTATGATCATGACAGGCTGGGGTTTGACTCATCTGTGGGAGAGTTCTCCTGATTTTAGTGGAAGCCTTTAGACGTTAGGGAGGAGGAGAACTTTGCAGAGCTGACAGGGGCAGGATGTGCATGTGTTGTGGCCAAATCCAATAACTAGGTGACACAAGGTGTCCCATCTAATTCTATTCATGTAGCAATTTCTGTAGAAGTTTGATAAATTGGAATGACTTGCTCAGCCTTTCCAGAGGACAGTTTGGAGTTATTGCCTAACTATCAATCTGGAATCACACACAGGACAAGCTGGGTTGGGATGCCAGGTTTCCTTCTCTAAAAAAACATCAGCAATAGGTTCAGAATTACTATTACTGTGGCTGGCATTTTATTCCCAGCATACTTATGTATTGTAGGATAATAGAGGGTGAACAATGAAGAAGCAGCTTTCAACACCAGCCTTGATAAAAACAGTCCCAAAATAGGTCAAGGGAGCTACAGCTCACATTTTCCCATTTCAGTTTCAATCTGGTGGCAAGGTCAGCAGCAGTGATGTAATCAAGCAAGACAAGCAGCCAATCATGTGGAAGTATTCTCCCTGACTGCAAGCCCGGAAGTAAGCACTACATTCCTTCATTGTTAATGCTTAAATCTTACAGATAAGAAAGTAAATGACTGAGACTTACACATGGGAGTAAGGCTAAAATATTATAAACAACTTTAAGAATTTTTGTTTTAACATATGGAATTTCTCATCATACAAGACATTGAACAAATAAAATTACCCTCTCAGGTTCATTCAGTAGAATGAATTTAGTTCACCATTGAACACCCAGATATACCTCATTTAACAAGGTATGACTAATTAATGACTTCTCACAACAAACCCAAGAATGGATGAGTGGACATTTTCACCAGTTCAAAGATTTTCCATTGACAGTAGTCTGAGGGGGCCTCAATAGGACATCCTGTAGAGCGCAGAATCACTGGATGAAATTTTCACGGTTCCACGCGTTTAAAGGAGAGACCAGGAGAAAATGCACTAAACTTGGTGTTGGGTCAATGCTAACACATTCCACCTCTGGGTGATCTTCCACCCAGAAGAGGGTCATCACCAGCAGAAGCTGCCCGCCTGGCAGCAGCAAGCAGCCAATCTGCTTAGTTAGCAGCCTATTTGTGGACTGACTAGGATTTTCTTACTAGCAGGTTGGCCCTCTACTGGGAACAGTCCACAGGTGCTTGGTGGCAAGTTGTCAGTGGACTGGCATAAGGGCACTACAAGGTCTCCTACCCTCAGCCCGTCCACCACAACTGTATCCATCAGTGGGCTACTCCAATTGTGAGTGTTCTTTAGTTCCTACCTCCCAACCACAGGATGGCATTTCAACTTTGTTTTTTTTTATTTTACTAAATTGAATACCTCTCCAGAGCTCGCGTCAAGATGGAGGTGTCCATGTAATTTCTTTCTGCAGCGGGTCAGGGAACCATCAGTCATCCTTAATTGTAAGGTGGTAGCCTCTTAATTGGCCATCTCTGCAAAGATATCCCAGGCAAGTATCCTGACAACTAATGTGGACTTGAGATCTAGAAATGGTCACAAATCTCTCCTTCTCTTCAAAAGAAACTGGAAGATGACCTTGCAAGTCTTTAGAACTATGGAAGGCCTTGATACAGTAGATATCAAGAATATGGTTCTATCAGTAGAAAAGAAGAAAGGTATTTATTTTAATATAAAAGTCAGTAAGAAACCAAATAAGGAATTCAGAAATTTTTTTTTGGCCAGAGAGTGTTGAGAATGTGTAAGTCGTGACCACAGGGAGTGGTTGAGGACACTGATATTTATACAGTTAAGGGGAAGCTAATTCAGTGTTTCAGGAAAAAGGGAACAGAGGTTATTCAGAGGCCAGTGATGGAAAGAGACTCAAATAGAGAATAAGAAGCCGCATGAAATGGTGAGGATGAATGGTTTCTGTGCAATATATTCTATTCCAGCACAATCAGATTCTGTATTTAATTGGCCAGAGAAGCCATTCCACTCAAGCCCTGAGGGTTCATGTGAAGAATACAAGTGGAGCTGAAATTAAGGCATCATGCATGCTGACAAATCAATTCCTCCCTGCCCTGACACTTGCTTCCTCCATAGCATTTTGTCCAATTTTGGCTCCACCTGCTTTATCCCGCCAGGGCCCCACTGCTTTGGCTTTGCTCCCATTGAGGGAAATTATTGCAGGATGTTGAACTGAAGAAAGTCAGCACACAGTAGGCAAAGATTGCTAGAATAACAATGACCTGAAGCAATGAAAGATTATAGAAATGTAAACAGGTACTCAAAGTGTGTAAGAGAGACATATTAGGAAAAGCAAAATGATGAAGAGAGAAGGAAATTGCAGAGTAATAAATTATAGCGGGAGAAAATAAAGAGAGCTTGGGTGCACCAACTTGCTTTTATCTACTGTTTTATATTGCTGTAAAGCAGCTCCAAGCATGTTTCAGAGAAAATTTCATGCCAAACTCTATGAAATTGTAGGAGAGGTGAAAGAGACATGTTTTAAGGAATGCTACAAGGAGGAAAGAAACAGAGCAGTGGAGAGACAAAGGGAGGCAATTCCATAGCTAAGGGTCTAGCTAACTGAAGGCATCACTGTCAATACAGGGGGAAAAGAAACCACGGATACACAAGAAACCAGAATTGAAGGAATGTGTGGAGGATTTTTAGGCTGTTGATAGGGAGATATAATGTCATGGAGGGGCATGAACACAAAGATGCACATTTTAAAAAATGTAGAGCAGTGAGCACAATCATGATGACTAAATTGTACTTGGTGTAAATCAATGTATGGACAGAGCTTTGTGATAAGCTAAAGTTTATCATGTTAAACATGATAAGGTTTGCAGGGATGGGAAACTGAAAAAATGAGCACAGACAGGCAATATGAAATAATTCATGGCAAGAGATCAATAGAAATGCAGAGAGAGAGAGAGGCTGATTAAAAAAAAAATGAAAATAAACAGCAAGGGAAGAGCAACGCAGGCACTGGAAATTCAAAAGATTTATTTTTCATGCTTTCTTAAGTTTCTGAAGTAGTCCTATATATTGG